ACACAGGAGGTCACGGTGTATGGCCGAGTAGGGTGCATAGCCTGGCAAGAAACAACGCCTGGTCTTTATGACGGGGCGAAAGACTGAAGGTGAAGAGCAGAACGGTTACTTCTTATGGACGTCAATTTCAAGGCAACGGACGATAAACCATACTGAGAAAAACATCCCGGCTAGTTCTCCGTTTGCATTTCTATAACCAGAATTAAATGCTTCATTTACAGGAAAACATTGAAAATCACTAGGAGAAGGGTTTAAAATTGATCAAGCCTGTTTCCCCAGTCGCATTCTAATATCGTGACTAAAATAATGTTTCTAAATAGCCAAAGAGAGAGTGCTAAAGTTAACTATCGAAAAAAAAACCCGAACATGATAATCAGATAAAAGCTCCAAGATTTTCCACGGACGGGCGATTGAGCGGATAGATGGATGGGAACGGTTGATACGATAACATTCACATTTGTAATTCGATGAAGATTAGATGGAAACACCACTCTCCGGGGAAAATTCTACTTCCTAGCATAGCATAGAAATCATAACCACATGTCAGTCTCAAAATGACCAATGCATTGTATTGACGAGACGTTTAACTCCATTGCTGCCTTTTCATATGGTGGTATTTTCTTTGTACCATTTTTTTAACTTTTAGTTAAAATACATGATAAATGTTTATCTACAAAGACAGCTGAATCAGCTAAAACATTAAACATTTATTTATTTTCACTGGTATTTTTATCAGTAAATATAGGAGTATTGTATCATTAATTATCTCATTCAGCTCGGTTGCTATTAGCTCCCTTTCACGTGTGTGGGGTCTGACTGATATCTTACATAACGCCTGTTGAGGAAACAGTTGTAGCACCGTTTCATGCACTCTGTAACGCTCTTGGTACCATTCCTATCTTGTTGTACCAATAAATTAAAGATGCGGTGCATAAGATTTAGATAAATAGCTGGCCGTTCTTGCTATAATAGTTTGAAAAGAAGATCATAAAAAAACGAATTCATTGAAAATGTAGTCTAATCATCACTTTATTCGAGGGAAGTTATAAGTGTTTGAAATCTTGACAAGAAATATCGTAAATAGTCTCGATTATCAAGTACCATAGCTATGAAAATAAACATAGTCTCGATTTTCCTTTTGATTGATTAACGAAGATATGTCAGACATGTTCTAATCCATTTAATATTTAAGCCATCCGATGGCCTAGAAAGTTGAATAAATGTCTAAAAAGAATCGAAGCCAGAAAAAGACCTGCAATATGCCGATTCAGCTATTACATAATGCATATCTAACTGTATCATTATCTAAAACTGATAAAATGTATAGAACATGACATCAAATGTTCATTAGTACACAGGTAAAACTACTTTATATAATAAATGATCATTTAAGCTTGAAATTTACATCTTTAGTTTACTACTTACAGGTATGTAGAAATGTAATTTTAGAACATACATGTCATGTCACATTTCTACGTTTATCAAGTAACAGCCGACATTAAAAACGAAAAGAAATTTAACGTCTTATTTTTCTGTACTAATCAGCCCAACGGCGGACATACAAAAACGTTCATAAAATTGTCTGTCGTATAAAATAAGAACTGTTATTTAGATGCAGTAAACTTATTTACCCCAGTTGGTTTTGATAATATATGATATTAACTTTTCAACTATACACTTTGTTCTGAACACGTATGCACTTATTAAAGACTATCAATTCCACATGTATATATTTATATCAGTCAGTGAAATTAAGATAACTTGTAAATGCTATATATAGTAATGATCTCGTGTGTGTAGACCCAGTTGTAGTTGCTTTATATTTATGTTCCTCGTGTAAAATAAATCATATGTTTACGAAACCGATATCTATTATCACTAAAATATTGTTACGTGTGTTATGAGGAATATTTTGCTCTGGCAGCGGCTCTATGTCCTACTATTATTCCGATTTTAAACTGCCAGGGGATCTATAAGGTGCGTCCAATAATACGTACGGTACCTTGCGTGGTTCGGATTGGACGAAAAGCCGAGGTCCCAAGTAGACGTTGCCGTGCACGTAAAACAAACTTTGACCGATGGAATCGAATGAAGGACAGAAACATGCATTGGCCGAGAAAGTTCATCTGGATTTTCCGACGTGGTTTCCCCTTGTCAGTGGTGCAGAACGGAGGGCCAGACAAGGACAGCTGTCTAGTCCTTCGGATGAGACGAAAAACCGAGGTCCCGTGTATACATTGGAATGCACGTAAAAGATCCCTTGGCAGTTGGAATTCGATATAAGAGTAGGCGATAGTACCGCTGCCCGGGCAAAATTGTCCTCATAGCACACTGTATGGCGTATGCCCGTCTTCATTAGCCCAGTATAGGAGCAGAACAGTAGGACGTTAAACCCCATTTCATTTCATTTCATTTCCACTGTCCGGGCAAATACCGTCCATATAGCACACATGACCTAAAAAACTGCATTAATTCGGTTGTTGCAGAAAACCAGAACGTCAAACCCATTTCAGTTCATTTAATTTCTCTAAACATAACAGTTGATGCCATTTGTCTTCGTTAAAAAAAACCCCAAATCATTGAATTATATGTTGCTTCGGGTTTTGAAAAACAGATATTAGAATTTTTCTTTTTCGAAAACCTTCATTTGTCTCAATTTGTTCTGTCCTTTAACAGATCTCCTGCTTTCCATTACCCTTGAAATTCCCCGCCGTAGTAAATCACTCTTATCTTTTGAAATAATTTGTTGAATTTCAACAACTACATAATATTTATAGCATTGCTTACAGTATATAAATAAAAACTGAAATAATGAACTACAATTTCATAAGAGGGGTGTTTTTTTGTTGATAAGAGAACCTCCAAAAACTACTTTATTTGACAAAGATAGTTAAATTCTTCTTGATTTTTATAAACATCAAGATAAAGAAGTTGTTTGTGTCGTGTATAAATAATGATATGTGAACAGATAAGGGAATTACACATGTCCTTGTATCTTAATAGCTTTAGGATAGACATAAAACATATTATTTTTTTCTGTTTCCTTCTGAAAGCCGCGTGGAATCAATCAGTAAGACATTTGCTCACTGACCTCGAGGTTTGGGTTTGCTCCTGGTGCTGGCAGTAAAAATTTTATCGGGATTCTCCGGTGCGGGTTTCCCAGTGTCAGTGGTGGGCCTGTCAGGGAGAGCATTTAGTCGTTCGGATTGGACGAAAAACTCGGCGTCCGCCTAGGAGAACTCTTGACAGTTGAAATTCGAATTAAGAGTAGGCCGGGCAAAATTTCCCTTTTAGCACTTTGTATGGCGTATACCCATCTTCATTAATCTAGTCGGTCAGAAAAGTAGGACTATAAACACAATTTCGTTTCATTGCTGTCGCGTTCTGCGATGCTATAATTATAGGATCTGTGATAGTTGAGGTGCTGGAATCTCGACTATACTATACCGGGTTCGAATCCCGGCGTGTGTACAAACGAATCTCTGTATTTATCAGCACCCCTTTCAAATGTAAAAGGAACCTGATTTAGTTTTAAAAAGAAAATTATTATCGTTATTTTTTTGTTTTGAAGTTTACCCTTAACATAAACAATAATTGGCACTGTTTCTGTAGTTAGTAACGAATGTCGTACATGAGGCAGCGTATGTTTGCTCTTTCTGGAATTCCGAATACATTCTCGGATTTATTTGAAAGGTGCACAATGCACATAGCGAACAATTATCTTTTATATATTTACATTTTAGCCCGCCTTAAATAATATCGGCACTGCTAGTGACGCGTGTCGTTCATCGGGCTGGGCATTTTGCCTCTTTCTTGAATTTAGAATACAATCTCTGAAATATTTGAAGAATAGCGAACAATTATCGTTATATATTTAAGCCCCACTATAAATAATATTGGCACAATTTCTCTAGTTTGTTATTTGGGTTAATAAACATTGACATAAACTTGATATAATAAATACCGGTGTTACGTTGTGTATGAACGTAAAACAACTAGAAATAATGTTTATACTAATTACCTGTCACTTCCAATAAAAATAAAAATGGCGATTAGCTACAAGTAATGGCAGGTGTCGTGCACTAGGTATAAATCCCGAATGCCTTGCTGGCTGACTTAAACAGGAGGTCCGGTTTTTGATCCTTGGAATTTGTAGCTTGTTTTCCCCTTGTCTGTGGTGCAGGACGGAGGACTTTATAGGAAGAAAGCCAAGTCGTTTGGGTAAGAATAAAAACCGAGGTCTCATGTTTATAGGGTTAGGTTTAAGAATTAGTAAAACGAAATTTCAACAATGTCTGTAAGTTACTTTCATGTTTTGGTTTGCAGAACCTTGTGAACCCTGCAACGACAAAAATTATAATCTGATCTGTATGAAATTGTCTTGTAAATGCTCCCATTACAAAACAATAAATATGCGACAACCCTTGTCAGTCCCCTGGACAGTTTAGCTGCTGTGGGCGTGTGTTTTGTTGCCTGGCAACCTACCTTATTGGTTAAATGTTGAAATCGTAGTACAAATTTCAACTTTTAACCAATTAAAAGGCTGCTTTCATGAATTAGTTTAGTGAGTAAGACCCCAGATGTTATTGGTCTTAAAGTAATTCCGTGTTACCCGGTCCTGAGTGAATTGACATTTACGGCATTGTCGACACTCTCAAAGCGGATATGAGTTCGAAAAAACGTCTGTTCCAAGTTTAGTCTTGGAGAATAACATACGTGTTACATACATACACGACATGTGTTTTTATTGGTTCTCATTCGGTATTGAAGAGCGAGAGTTGCACCTTCAACAGAATGCAGAGCTAAAGGTTTTAACCCTTTGAAGTGCCGCTGATGTGTTTCCAATTGAAATGTCAAAAGGTGTCGTTCTTGTACAGGAATTAGATGTATTTATGGAACACCATCTGTACAAAAAAGAAACAAGAATGTAACGTTGCACTTTAATAATATTGATGTTACGTAGAATTTGGTTATTTTTCCTACTCTTCTTTTGTTTACAGACGGGATTAGTGCACACAAAAAATGAAGAATACTTCATCGAACCCGTTAAAGATCACGACTGGCGAACGATTCCACAACATCCCCACATTGTCTACAAACGTTCGGCATTACCGGCACATTGGGATATACACAGAAGCAGTGAAAATATTGTGAAAGACAGTAAAGAGACTGGTTCTTGTGGCGTTAAAGGTAAGCTTATGGTATCTTGATATGTTGGTACCGTTTGGTATCTGTTTGGAGAAGTTTAAACAAGCCGGCTGATACTTTGTGAAATGTTTTGACAGAAGATAGTGTTGCATTCTATAAATATCTTATGTAACAAATTCAAACACATAGACAGACGGACCAGAATTTAAAAGACGACCCGTTTAAAAGATAATTTTTACAGCTGTTGTTTTTTTCAACATGTTCTTTATAGCTCGTTTGAACCATTTTGCTACAAAACACGACTGGTGCCGAATGTGTCAAAATTATGTCAGTGTCTAGGCGGCGCATGCAGAGGAATGTGTCCAGACATTTGAACATAAAGGGAAAAACATAGACTGACCCCCAACTATAATTCCATTCACGTGCACCAAATAGAACACGATGCTCTAAAATGAGTGAAAGGCAGCAATTCTGCCCGGATCAGTTTGTGTTACTACGTCCAATGTAAACAATGTACATGTTATGGGTGCTGTCTGATGAGATGTCACACGTAGATTTATACTGCACGTGAACGTAGCGGTCGGTCATCTTGCGTAGAGTTACAAGAAGACTTCCGCATTACCGCTGTCAAATATATTGCCTTATATGGCGTCGTATTTTTTGGAGTAATTAACATGCAATGCCATTTTTAAACATTGCAAAATCTTTTGATCGGACCCTTTTTAATCCGACTGAAATCCAGCATCGAGTTCACAAAACATTCTCAGACTTCGGTTAAGAATTTACTCAAACTAAAATATAGCCCTTTAAAAACTGGTGTTGTTTTAATGTATCAAATACATCAATAAGAAACTATGCATGTGCAAAGTTGTGTGCAAAGTGGTTAAATGTTGAGTAAATTATTAACTAAAGTCTGAACTCGGACCCAAACCTTGAGATTATCCACATGTGTGTTGGTTTTGATTTCTTGATTAAATGTTAAAGGAACCGAATCTCTAATCATTGGAACCTAAAATGCACAAAGGTAAAAAGCACATATTAATGTAATATGAGTGCATATATAAGCAGATTTACATTTCATTTTGGGAAACCCCCACCCTCTCGATGTGTGGTATCATCAACTCTATCTATACCACTGCCTCGGAGTAATACCCTGCCCTGTTGTAGCTTTAATTTAATGCGTCTTTACAACTGGTTGAAGCTAGTAAAGAAGATTAAGATTGAACTAGATACCAGATGATGTGAATATTAAACAGATCACATGTCACTAATTTACATATACACGTCACTCATATCGTTTGAGATCTCTCATAATCAGGTGACAGCCATTGTAAAAAATCATTTATTCCCACGACCGTGAATGCATAATTTGAAACAAGGTCAAAAAGGTAAACCCGTTATTCTGGAATATACTAATCATTACAATTGACGTGAATAATACTATCTCCACTCCACCCTACTACAGCGAACAATCCATTTTGGTAGCATCTTTGTCCTCTGTTAGCCTAGAGCATATTTGATGTCATTTCCAAAAACATTGCTCTGTGCCCTCCATTTTCAACTAAGTCTAAAGCCTAGCTCACAACCCGCGGTACGTGTTTTGATGCGCACGGGTCGTTGTGTTTGGTAGCTCGCATACCAGCCGCAAGAAACCGGTTGAAAATTTTGAATGTGCAGGACTAAAGCAAGCGTGTTCCTTCAGACAGATGGACAATGTAGAAGAATTGTTCAATCCAATCATATATAGTTTTCTGAAATGAAATGAGATGAAATGGGGTTTAACGTCCTACTGTTCTGCTCCTATACTGGGCTAATGAAGACGGGCATACGCCATACAGTGTGCTATGGGGGAAATTTTGCCCGGGCAGCGGCACTATCGCCTACTCTTATATCGAATTCCAACTGCCAGGGGATCTCTTACGTGCATTCCAATATACACACGGGACCTCGGTTTTTCGTCTCATCCGAAGGACTAGATAGCTGTCCTTGTCAGGCCCTCCGTCCTGCATCACTGACAAGGGGAAACCACGCTGGAAAATCTGGATGAACTTTCTCGGCCAATGCAGGGATCGATCTCCCGACCACCAGGCTAGCGAGCCAGCGTCTTACCCACTTAGCCACGTGATCCCCCATATAGATTTCTAATTGATAATCTAAATGGCAAAGTGTCTCTAATATATTTCCTCTTTCCTCTTAATTTTTGTCCCCCGCCTTTCGAAGAAAGCAGGGGACTATTAAAATGGGTTCGTCCGTCTGTCCGTCCGTCCGTCCGTCCGTCTGTCTGTCCGTCACACTTTTTGGGACACAATAACTCTCTTCCTAATTGAGCTAGAATGTTCAAACTTGGTGTATGCGTTTATTAGGTCAATGCCTTGATGGAGTTCGAAGATGAGCATTTTCCGCTTAGGGTAAGCAGAGATAAGCAATTTGATTGGTTGATGCTTTGGGACACGATAACTCTCTTCCTAATTGGGCTAGAATGTTCAAACTTGGTGTATGTGTTGATTAGGTCAATGCCTTGATGGAGTTCGAAGATGAGCATTTTCCGCTTAGGGTAAGCAGAGATAAGCAATTTGATTGGTTGATGCTTTGGGACACGATAACTTTTAATTGAGCTAGAATGTTCAAACTTGGTGTATGTGTTTATTAGGTCAATGCCTTGATGGAGTTCGAAGATGAGCATTTTCCGCTTAGGGTAAGCAGAGATAAGCAATTTGATTGGTTGATACTTTGGGGCACGATAACTCTCTTCCTAATTGAGCTAGAATGTTCAAACTTGGTGTATGTGTTGATTAGGTCAATGCCTTGATGGAGTTCGAAGATGAGCATTTTCCGCTTAGGGTAAGCAGAGATAAGCAATTTGATTGGTTGATGCTTTGGGACACGATAACTTTAGTTCTAATTAAGTGAGATTGATGAAACTTGGTGTATAGTTTCATTACAGTAATACCTTGACTAAGTTTGATAATGAGCATTTTCTGCTCAGGGTAAGCAGAGCGATACGCAATTTGATTGGTCGAGACTTTGGAAAACAATAACTCTCCTACTTTGATTGTCCCCCGCCTTTCGAAGAAAGCAGGGAACTATTAAAATGGGTTCGTCCGTCTGTCTGTTTGTCTGTCTGTCCGTTCCGCTTATTTGTGATAAATTTATATGTGTCCTCTAATTATTTTCCTATTTCGGCGGGGGACATCAGCCTCACTGTTGGCTTGTTCTTTTGAATATCAACAGTTTAACAGCAGAAGAAAACATGGTCATTAAAATGATTTTTTTGCAAATGACATTTTGATTTAATATATAAATAAAACCAAACCGCTGAAGATAATGACATTTATTATTAATTTTTTGCGGAGATGTGCACATAGATAGCAGTGAATAATAGTTCATGCTGTCCATCAAACTAGAGAAGGAACAGCACAGGAACACAACACTCCAAATAAAAAAAAAGAACGAAGAGTACAAAAATATGACATTCCCACAAAACCGAGAATGAACACCCAGTACCCAGTACCCAATACAAGAACACGACACCCCAAACAAAGCAGGGAACGAATAGTGCAAGAACACAACACTCTAAACTAAACAGGGAACGAACAGTACAAGAACACGACACTCTAAACAGAACAGGAACAGTACAAGAACACAACATTCCAAACAAAACGGGGAACGAACAGTACAAGAACACGACACTCTAAACATAACAGGAACAGTACAAGAACACAACATTCCAAACAAAACGGGGAACAAACAGTACAAGAACACGACACTCTAAACTAAACACGGAACGAACAGTACAAGAACACGACACTCTAAACAAAACACGGAACGAACAGTACAAGAACACGACACTCTAAACAAAACAGAGAACGAACAGCAAGTGCGGAGATAAGGGGATGGGGAGCCTAGGGGCGGCATCTAAGGTTCACAAAAAAAAAATGATAACATATCATAATATGACTTGAACTTTATGTCAACTTTAATGAAACTGCTTTCCGACGAGATCACGATAGGCGAACAACTTTATTTGCAATACGATCTATATTCTACCTCAGTGTTATAGTGTTCACTGTGGGTGGGTGTGTGGATAGCGCCCTAGATTTGGACACCACCCCACCCACCCTGTTCACAGCTTCTAGATCCGCTACGAATGAACAGTACAAGAATATGACATTCTCACAAAACAGAGAACGGACAGTACCAGAACGCGACACACCAAACGAAACAGTACACGAACACGACACCCCAAACAAAACAGGGAATGGACACCTCAAACAAAACAGTTAAAGAAGACGACACCCCAAACAAAACAGGGAATGGACAGTGCCAGAACGCGACACCCCAAACAAAACAGTAAAAGAAAACGACACCCGAAACGAAACAGAGAACCTACAGTACAAGAAACAAAACATAATGTCAACAATTTTAGTTATGCCCTTGTACGTTGAATTTGCTGGATATTGCTATCATCACGAATTTTCCTTCTGTCAAGTGAGAAAGCGAAATGGGATTTAACGTTCACTCCACAGAAACTATAGCTCATTTCCAGATTAACACATGGTATGTCTTTATTTCAATAATTTGCATGTACACATGGCTCTTGGGAGAAACTGGTGAACCCGGGGAAAACCCACGAGTTTAGGCACGTATAAGTATGGGAGCGAAACGAGCATGGACACTTGGACTCAATGGCAGACCTTCTTATCTTTAACCTAGTTATGCGTTGTCGCTTATCTGTGTTCTACATATTATAATTGTAAGATTGTTTACTTTGGAATGTAAAAATAAAATTAAATTCAATTTATATCTCTTTAAAATGATATTATCTCTGAAATAATTTGTTTAGGGTATATCAAATGAAAGCAAGATTCATTTTGTAAAGGTTAAAAACTGAAAACTTGAGATATGACTACGTACAAAAGTATCAACAATACCGTTCTTGAAAGATTTAACATGCTCTGTTTCGTATACGACACCAATCACTACTTATAGCTGGGTGATAAGTTAGGCTGGGAATTCAGAAGGATATGTTATTAGGTAAAACA